AGGGGTGTTCTCGTACAAGTGGGTATTAGTGAGCTCAAAAATTCCCCTCGCTTTCCGCTTTCATTGAAAATCGGAGATACTCGGGAAACAACCTGGTTGATGAAGAGGGGCGAAGATCCGTGTTACAGGACCAAGAACTACAAATTCGTGCTGTGCTTCCGTTTACGCTTTTCCATAAAATCACTCTGTGTTTGGATAGATGCTGATGGTAACTGCTGCTGCTGCTGCAATGTTTACTTAAATTGAGGTGAATTAGTTTGTTCTTCGAGTAAAGTTGAATGTTATTTGCAGGATTGCTACGAAAAGAAGTGGAAGATGTATCAAAACGTGACTACGTGTACTATTTAGCGATAGCTCATACTCGTCTTAAGGTAATATGCTTTTTTTTTAGGCATAAAATATGAGTGCGGTAAATTATATATTTGTAATACTTACAGTTGGCTTTTAGGAGTACGATCGTGCGCTTGCATATGTCGATATTTTGTTAGGCGCTGAATCAAATAATCGCCAGGCTTTGGATCTGAAGGAAGTGATCAAACAGAGAATGAGAAGTGGTACGTTTTTTTTTTCATTTATTTTATTAAAGTAGTTAATTTTATTTAGAAAGCAAAATTCACGTGTTATTTGGTGACGCTTAAGGTTTGGTTGCATTCTGCTAGCATCAAGAAGCATCACCCTAATTGTTCAGGAAGTGTAGAATAGTAAAGTAGAAAGATTCGACTTAGATGTCATGTACAAAAAGACATTTTACGTTGCAGTCTGTCTGTGTTTCATCCCTTAGCTGTAAACATAGACCGGACTATTCATGCGGATAGAAGTGGGAATCATCAGTGCAGCCTCCTACCAGCCATGTACTGAAAGGACATGTAACTATTTTCATTACTACAACAAAAAGAAACCATGGCAGGATCTTGTCTGCCTGTGTTCCTGTTTCTGTTGCTGAGTTTTAATTTCAGAAGCGCAAAATTGAGATACCGAAATTTAGACGCATTTCTTCGATGCCATACATTTGAGAGAAGAAAAACGTTAAATCAATTTTCGCATTCTGTTACCTCCTTGCACAAGAGTTTCACGATTTAGCGCCATACGAACGAAATAACAACATCCAGTTGTGGTGCTGAATAGGAATGTGTATAACTTAGTGGGCCGAAACGTTCCTTTTTATCAAAAAAAAGAGGAAAAATATAATTCTGCCT